CATCAGGGGCTACTGAGCTATATAATACTTAGCATATCCGTACAACAGATTTCCCCAGATCTCTGTGCGTTTACTAGTTGATGGTTCTGTTTTCTCCATCTTAGCGGTCTCTTTTCTCTGGTGTCACTTCCTAACACTTGTCAGATCTGTTCCTTACCTCCCCGTTAACTGCTTCTATTCACCACTTCTGAGTTGATGCTTTTTCCCCCAACCATGATAATCTCTTCATTCTTTTCTTTTATTTCTTCATCCTCTCTTTTTCTGCCACTTTTTCCATGGTTTTTTTTTTCGGTATCAGTGACAGCAATTTTTCTCTGAAGAGCATCATTAAACAGTGAGAATATTCCTTCGCTTTCTGTCAGTGAACCAACTAGCCATGTTGAATCTACAGCTCTTCTTAGCTAATTTTATTGGTTTGAGACAAGGTTTTTTTTCTAGTAACATTCAACTATGGTCCCTTCTAATGTTAGATATATCTATAGCCATTTTCCTGGTCCATAAAACAAGGGGACTGAACCATATGCTCTTAGGTCCTAGGCAACTCCAAATTATGTAGCTCTGTGTATTTTCCTTATAAAGATCATACACACTCCAGACTTTAATGCAGTGGTGATCTATTGTTGAAGTTATTCCTTCCAGTGATAGAAATCTCAGCCCATTCATACCTGTCCATCTCTTGTTTGTTATGTCCTCCCAGAAATTCTCCACATGATCTCCACCCAACCCAATGTGGGAGTCTTCCTAAAATTCTGTTTGCATTGTGAAAATATGAAAAAAGCAGTCAGGCTGTCCATGGGTTTTCACTTGCTCTTAACTGTATGACCAGGCCATCATATTATTTTTTCATCATTTTTGGTAACATCATTTATACTGTTTCCCCATACAGCTGCCCTCCAAAATATATTTCCTAGTTATATGTAACTTATGTTAATTTGCCAAGATCAAGGCCTAATCTAAGGTAATTTTCACTATAGAAAATTAGAAAAATTTGTGCTTACCCTTGATGTTTTCATGTCTTGATTTTTCATACCTCTATACTTTGTTGCGCATTTACTACTGTTGATCTATAGTGAGAGTTTCTTAAAGGAGTCTATGGATAGATTTCAAGGGGTCAGTCAGTCAATAAGCATTTTTTAAGTACTTACTATGTGCCAGGCACTTTGCTAGATGCTGAGAACACAAAGAAAATTTTTTAAAAATTCACCGTTCTCAGGTATCTCACAATCTAATGGGGGAGACATGCAAAAAACTGTAAAAATAACATACACATAATACATATATGATAAATAGGAAATAACCAATATAGAGAAAGCATTAGAATTATGAGAGATTGGGGAAAAGAATGTGGAATTTTATCTAGGACTTGAAGGAAACCAGGGAAGCCAAGGAGGAGAAGATAAGGAGGGGAAAGCATTTCAGGCATGGGGAACAGCCAGTGAAAATACCTGAAGTCAGGGAAGCCAGGAGGCCATTGTTCCTGGCTCAAAAAGTATGTGGAAGGCAAAAGACTGAAAAAGGTAGGGAAAGATTGGGTTATGTTATTTGAACAAGAGAGAATTTTGTATTTGGTCATGAAGGTGATATGGAGCCACTGGAGTTTATTGGGTACAGACTGACATGTTTGTATCTATGCTTTAGGAAAATCACTTTGGTGAATGGAGGACGGACTGGAGTAGAGAGAGACTTATAGCAGGCAGACCACCTAGCAGGCTATTGCATTAGTCCAGACATGACATTATGAGGGCCTATATCAAGGGTATCAGAGGAAAGAAGGAGGAGGCATGTTCAAGAGATGTCGCAAAAAATGAAATTAACAGGCCTTGGAAACAAATTGGATATAGGGAGGGGAGGTGAGAGACAGTGAGGAGTCAAGGACAGTGTTTAGTTGGTGAACCCGGGGTACTGAGAGACTAGTGGTAGCCTCTACAGTAATAGGAAAGTTTGGAAGGGAGGAGAATTTAGGGAGAAAGATAATATTCAGCTTTGGACATGTCAAGTTTGAGATGTCTACAGACATCTAGTTTGAGGTGTCTAATAGACAACTGAAGATGGGAGACTAGAGGTTAGAGCTAGATAAGTTGAATCATCAGTACAGAGAATCATTAACATAAAGATGACAATTAAATTCATGGAGCTGATGAGATCACCAAGTGAAGTAATGTAGAGGGAGAAGAGAAGAGGGCCCAAGACAAGTTAGTGGGCATGATCTGGATGAAGATCCAACAAAGGAGACCAAGAAGGAGCAGTTGGATAGGTGGGAGAACCAGGTAAGAAGAGGTGTCACAGAAAGCTAGAGAGAAGAGAATATCAAGGAGAAAAGGGTAATTAAGTGTCAGTGGCTGCAGAGAGGTCAAGATGGATGAAGGTTGAGAAAAGGCCATTGGATCTGGAAATTAAGAGATAATTGGTAACTTTGGAGAGAACAGTTTTGGTTGAATGATGAGGTTGGAAATCAGATTATAGAGAGTTAAGAGGAGAGAAAATTGGGGCTTCTACTATAGACTACCTTCTCAAGGAGTTTAGCCACAAAAGGCAGGAGAGATGTGGGATGATAGCAGGGATGGAAAGATCGAGTGAGGGTCTTCTTGAGGATGGGGAGACATGGACATTTTTGTCGGTAGTAAGGAAGGAGCCAGTAGAAAAGAAAAGACTGAAGATAAGTGAGATAGTGTAGATTATAGAGAAGGCAGTTTATTGGAGGAGAAAAGAAAGAATGGGGTCACTTGTGAAGCCTTGGCAAGGAGAAGTACCACCTCTTTGTGCGAGAGAGTGCTGAAATCAGAGATAGTGACAAAAGAGACGACTGATTTGAAATGAGGAGAGAAGAAGAGGGAGCTCTTACCACATGACCTCAACTTTTTCAGTAAAATATGAGGCAAGATTCTTAGCTAAGAAAGTAAGGAGGGGAAAAGCCATGGAAACTTAGAAGAGGGATGAAAGGGTTTCAAATAGCCATTGTAGTGAGTGGAATAGTAATTCGATTAAAGAGGTGTAGAAGGATTGCCTAGCAAGAGTGAGGGCCCAGTTGAGGGTATGTAACATAAATTTGTAATGCACCCAGCCAGAATAGTTGTATGATTTTCTCCACCTTTGTTCAGCAGCACATGTGTAGATAAAAGCAGAGGATAATGGAAGGTTGATCATGGAAGGGCACAATTGACCCTATAATAAGAGGACAGGGGACTGAAGAGAAGTGAATAATGTAGAGTTGACTGGTTCACTACAGAGTCAAGATGGGGAAAGTTGGAGAGTGTGGCTAGAGAATGGGGTGATAGCCTGGGAGAAGAACACTTGTGCAGTCAAGAGTTTGGAGGTTTTGTTGTAGATGAAAAGCAGGGTTTAATATTAGAAAACAGAAGAAGTGAAAAGCCAAAAGATTGTCATTAAATAAGGGAATTTAAGAGTTCATGAACATAGAGGTGGTGCATTTGTGCATCATTTGCAAAACCATCTTTGTATGTAACCAAAGTGGGGTGGAGGAATAAGTCAAGGAAAATGAGTAGGTTGAGGAACTGAGAGGTCAGGATGTTTTAGGAAGTATGCCCCTGAATGAGGGCAAAAGTTGAGGAGGAGAGAGATTATGAGCCAGGTACTGAGCTAATTAAGGAAGGAAGGAGAGTACCATGGAGGTCTGTAGGTAGCAGCTACCAGGATTTTAATTGGGTGGTTGATGTAGATCGCATAGACCTTAAAGGAAAACAGGTTGCTTACCTCTCTACATTCTTGGACATTTACTATCATTGATCTTTAGTTGGGGTTCTTAAAGAATTCTATGGATAGATTTCAGGGGCTCCATGAATTTGTATGGGGAAAAATGCACATTTATTTTCATTGACTTTAAAGTGAAATTTAGCACTTCTTTCAATTATGAATGTAAGTAACAAACCTTTTGAGAAGGGGACTATAGGCTTCACTATACTACCAAAGGGGTCCATCACACAAGAAAGAATTAAACTATTGCTCTGTAGAAATATTTGTAAGCCTTGGAGAGGATGATGAGACCAAGGCAAGGTACAAGAAGGCTTTACCAAGTTGTAGTTGGTTGAACACTACTATAACCTATTAGCCTGAGATATAGAAAGATTAACCTTAAGGCTTTGGAAAGTAAAAGGATATTGGTGAAGTGCATATTTATAATATTTGATAGAATTTCAAACTTAGAATTAGTAATATTCCAAATTGACCATAAGATTCTATTGTTTCATTAAAATTATTTTTCACTTCACTGAAACAAGCTGATATTCCCAAATTTCCTGGAAACATACTTAGCTGACACGTTTTAAATAACTGGAAAGTATGAAACACAATTTTCTCTTTATAGATTTCCTAAAATATCTCTTGTGAGCAATTTCTTGTTGTCTTGCAGGAGGAGGTAGGACATTGGTTGCCATGGTGACTGCTTCTTTCTTTTTTTTTTTCCCCACCACTAGTCAATATAGCAGGGAACCCTTAGGCAATTGGCCCTCTGCTTTCTACAGTGGAGACTCAATTCAGAGTTGGGTTTTATTATATGTTCAAGGTGACAATGCCATGGTCATTATTTAACCCAAAATAACTTTAGGCCAAAGGAACCTTTTGTAGGACTAGAAATAAAAGGAGATTCAAAGACTATCAGCTTTCCTATAAACTTAGACTCATAGAGAAAGAAAAAATGAACAAAACAGATAAAAACAGGGCTGAAGAACTTTTTTCTTTTATGATTTATACAAAAAAATGAAATAATGATGGAGTACCTACTACATGAAAGACAACACATAGAGGCTGTTCGGTTTTCACATGAATGGGACTGTTGATTCAGAGGGCTTGTCTAGTACAGATTGAGACACCCAAAAGAGAAGCATATGCTACAACTCAAGTGTATATGATAGACCTCTAAATAAGCATTGATGACTAGCTGTTTGTTACCTCTCTCATAAACCTAAAGAAAAATTAGAACATTATTGATATTCATGACTCTCATTCAGATACTCTAAACATCTTGACTGTCCTTATTTTCCTAGGCCATTGGTGTGATGGGTGGCTAGGATATGGAAGAGGACCTTGGTGAACCCCAGGGAACCAGAATTCCTTTCTGCCTGCCTCTGCTTAGCTGACCTCTGGCCTTCATCTTGTTTTTAAAGACTAGCCACCCATTCCAGCTGCCCAGAGGGAGACTTGTCCATTAGCCAGGAGCTGCGCCTGATAAAGAATGCGACCAAGGATTCATACAGACTTTACAATTACCTCTTCGTGAAGCACGTGTGAGGATGAACTCAGAATCTCAAGTGTGGGAAAGGGCCTCAGAGGCTATTTAAGCAAATCTGTACCTGAGCAAGGATACCTCCTGCAGTATTTCTAATAAGCAGTCTTACACTCTTTGCTTTAAAACCCCTAGTTAGTGGAAATGTCACTACCTCCTGAGGAAGCCCTTGCACTTTAATCTCTAATTGTTGAAATATTTACCTTCTTCCAAGCCCAGATCTTTTGCCCATTGCTCATAGTTTTGTTTTCTGAAGCCAAATAGGATAAATCTGTGTGCCAGGGCTTCCAAAGCTTGAAGTCAGCCATCATGTATTTCCTGCCTGTCTTCCACTTCCCAAACATTGGGCCTGAATCTTCTTTGCTCCAGGCTAAACATCCCTAGTTCTTCAGCCTATCGACATTTGGCACTTTTCTTCAATGTAATCTCTATCCTGCTTCTCTTTCTCTAGATACTTTTCCACTTATCAGTATCTTTCCTAAAATTTCATACCCAGAACTGAACACAGTATACCAGATGTGATCTGACCAGAGTAAAGTCTAGTGGTACTGTTACCTTCCTCATCCTAGATATCATACTTGTCAAACAGCCTAGAGTAGCATTAGCTTTTTTTTACTTACCAAATCACACTGTTGATTTAATCAGCTTTCAATTTTCTGACACCCCAGATCTTTTTTGGATGTAATTCTACACTGTAGTACCTCTCCCAACTTGTATTTGTGAAGTCTTGATCCTAAGGGCAAGATTGTATATTAATCCATTAATCCCAATTATGTTTCATTGTATTATCCAGTGCTCTAGCTTGTTGAGACCTTCTTGAGTGCTGACTCTTGTCATCCAACCTGTCAGTGCTCTGTTTGAGCTTTGTGGAATATGTCTCACTTTCCTATTTGTCTCTGATACATAGTGGGTACTTAGTAAAAGCATTTGATAAAGATGATTAATATATTGATAAAAATGTTAAACAGCATAGGACGAGCAACAGAGCCTTAGTATACTCCCCTAGAAGTCTCCCTTCAGGTTGACTTTAGTCATAAATTGCTCACTATTCTTTGGATCTAGTCATAGAATCAGTTCTGAATTTGCCTAACTATTGTCATCCTGCCTGCATTTCTCTGTCTTATCCTCAAATATAAGTTGAAGGACACTGTCAAACACTTTGCTGAAATCTAGTTTAAAAATATTTATGGCATGTCCTTGATATATAACTTTGTCAAAAAAGGAAGGACTTTAGTCTAACATGACCTATTCTTAATGAACATATGCTTGCTCTTTGTAATCACCATTTCCTTTTCTAGATGCTTACTAACTGTACTTTTAATAAAGCAGCTCTTAAGTGTGGCCAAGAATCTCTGTTGGTCCTTGAGATCATTTCAAGGGATCTGAGGTCAAAACTATTTCCTTAATGCTACTAGGACTTTTAAATTTTATGGTAACTATTGGTATATATAACCCCACATAAACAAAAGCCCTTTGAGGAATCCTCAAGAATTCTTTAAGGCGTAGAGGTTCCTGAAACCAAAATGTTTGAGGATTGCTTCTTTAATAATTACTATAGATTTTCCCCAAGAATCAAAGTCAAGCTCATTGGTCCATAATTTATAAACTTCCTTATCTTCCCTTTTTTGAAAGCCTTAAAAATATTTTATTTTCCAGCTTTGAGGCATGTTTTCCATTCTCTACAATCTTTCTTTTTTCCTTTTTTAAAATTAGGGTTTTTTTTTAACTTTTAAAGTTTAGTGTAATATGAGAGACCCGTCACATGATACTCAGATTTAGGACAACCTATGAAGAGCACAGTCACTCCAGGGCCTCAGATTGGTCTTTCAGTTTCTCAGAGTTTTTTTTTTCAATCATCTTTTCATTTAAACTGCTGTAGTCATTTTGTGTGTTCTTCTTTTGGCTTTGCTTATTTAATTCTGCATCAGTTCATTCAGATCTTCCAGTGTTTCTCTGTATTTCTCACGTTTATTGTGTCTGACTGCATAATAATTTTCTATTATATTCATATATCACATTTTGTTTAATCATTCCCTAGTTGATGACCCATTTTCTTTCTAATTTTTTCCTACTTCAGGAATTGCTGCTATGAATATTTTGGCAGATAGCGGACCTTTGTTTTTGTCTTTGACCACCTTGAACTTTATTGTATGCCCTATAGTAGGATCACTTGGGCAGCTGGGTGGCACAGTGGATGGAGTGCTGGGTCTGAAGTCAGGAAGACTCATCTTCCTGAGTTCAAATTTGGCCTCAGACACTGAACTGTGTGACCCTGGGCAAATCACTCAACTCCATTTGCCTTAATTCCTCATCTGTAAAATGAGCTGGAGAAGGAAATGGCAAACCACTGCAGTATCTTTGCCAAGAAAACCCCAGATGGGGTTGTGAAGAGTCAAATACGACTGAAATAACTGAACATCAAACAACAAGAATCACTGGGCCAAAGGGTATGAAAAGTGCAGCTACTCTACTTATATTATTCCAAGTGATTTTCTAGAACAATTGGACTAATTCACAACCCCATCAACAGTGTGTTGACATCACACAGGTCCTTCAACTACTTGAGGATATCTCTTTTATCCCCCCAAGTCGTCTCTACCCTGACCTGTCCATCCCAATTTCCTTCATTTAATCCTCGTACATCAAGTTCTTCAGTGTTCTCATCATCTTGGTTGCCTTCTTTTGAAGATATTTTAGTTTGTCTTTCCTAAAGCGTAGACAGTAGGCCCATTTAGACTGACTGGGGCAGTTTGATGGAACTATTGCCTCTCTTTGTGTACGCTGTGTCTCTTAGCACCATGTAGCGTTAGCTTTTTTGACTTCTCTGGAATTCTCTGAACTTGCAGTTCACCAAAATCTACCTTTCTTTTTCACAAGAAATGTTGATGTGCATCCACATTTCCCCAATCCAGGTACTTGTGAAGTTTTGTTTTTAAAAATAAAACCTCTGTGTGACTCTGGGCAAGTCACTTAACCCCAGTTGCCTCACCAATAAATAAATAAATGAATGAAAATAAAACCCAAATGTAGACCTTTACATTTATCCCTATTAAACTTCCTTCCCAATCTAGGCTGTTATTTGATAACCACATTTTAGGTGTCCTTCTGAGTTTCCTATCACCTACACATTGTATAAGCATGCCCCTTATGCCTTTATCCAAATCACTGCTGAACAGTATAAGGCCAAGTCACATCTTACTAAAAAGATCCACCTCATTTCATCTTGACACTATTCTTTTGATACCTCCCTAGATTTTAGGCTCTGTAACTCCATAAGAGGAAGAAGGCTTAATTCATTTAGCACTTTCTAGCTGTTGTTTTTCCGTTGTCACAAGGAAAGACACCTTAGGAGAGAATGGGTATATTTGGAAATGAATATGATATAAAAACAAAAAGAAATCAATAAAACTTACAAATAAATTCACTTAGAATCATCCAAAAACAGGAGGACACAAGATAAAAGCCATTTATCTAATGAAATCTATAGGACCCATTTCCCCTTGTTGCAGCTTTCTAGATTCTTAGAAGCTAGGTTCCCTAAGCAACCCACTTGGGAAAGGTAGACTTAATTTATTTAGTGGACAGAAGCAAGCAAAACAGTAGGATGTAAGACAAACTCCAATAATCTAATTAAATCCACCTGCCTTATTTCTTCTTGCTGCTGTTGTCCAGATAGTTCTCTTCAGTTCAACAAGTATTTCTTAGTCCATACCCCTACATATTAGGTTTTCATTTTAACAGTGCTCTATAGATGTGAGAAATTGGGATTGATATAAACCATGCTACCTAAGGACATTTGGAAAATAGCTTTGGTGAGAGGTAAGGGAGGGGGTGGCAACATGATAGTCTTCAGATGTTTGGAGAGTGGTTGTGTGAAATAGGAATAATATTTATTCTGCTTGGCCCCAGTGGGTAGAAGTTCTAGGTAGACAGATTTTGTATCAGCATAAGAAATACTTCCTATTATATCTGGCCCAAAATAGGCTAGCTTGGGAGTTAATTAGCTCTTTGTTTCTAGAGGTGTTTAAGTAGAGAGTGGATGTTTACTAATGGGAGACTTGGCAGATGAAATTCATGATTTCAGCTGGAGTTGGATGACATCTAAGGTCTATTCTTTTAAAAAAAATTTTATATTTTATTTTTCCCAGTTACATATAAAAGGAATTTTTTACATTTCTTTTTAAAAATTTAGTTCCAAATTCCCTCCCTCCTCAACCCAATCATGCAAAATATATTTCTATGTTAGCCATGTTGTGAAAGAAAACACAGACCAAAAAAACCCACACACACACGAGAGAAAGTTTTTAAAAGTATGCTTCCATCTGCATTCAGACTCCGTTACTTATTTCTCTGGATGGAGGTGGATAGCATTTTTCATCATAAATCCTTTAGAATTGTCTTGGATCATTGTATTGCAATATATAGCCAAGTCATTCACAGCTGATCAGCTTACAATGTTGCTGTTATTGTGTATACTCTTATCTTGGTTCTGCTTCACTTTACTATGCATCAGTTCATGTAAGTCTTCCCAGGTTTTTCTGAAAGCATCCTGCTCATCATTTCTTAAAGCACATGAATGTTCCATCACAATCATATACCATAAATTATTCAGCCATTCCCCAATTGATGGGCATGCCCCTAAATTTCCAGTTCTTTGCCACCATTAAAAGAGCTGCTATAAATATTTTTGTACATATAAGTCCTTTTACTTTTTCTTTGATCTGTCTGAGGTACAGATCTTGTAGTGATATTGCCGGGTCAAAAGGTACACATGGTTTTATAGCCCTTTGGGCATAGTTCCAACTTGCTCTCCAGAATAGTTGGATCAGTTCACATTTCCACCAACAGTGCATTAGTGTCCCTATTTTTCCACATCTCTTCCAACATTTGTCATTTTCCTTTTCTGTCATATTAACCAATATGGTAGGTTTGAGGTGGTACCTTGGAGTTGTTTTAATTTGCATTTATTTAATCTATAGTGATTTAAAACATTTTTTTATATGAGTATAAATAGCTTTGATTTCCTCTTCTGAAAACTGCCTGTTTATATCCTTTGATCATTTATCAATTGAGGAATGACTTGTATTCTTATAAATTTGACTCTGTTCTCTATATATTTGAGAAATGAAGCCTTTATAAGAGACACTTACTGTAAGAATTTTTTTAATTAATTTTCTACCTTCCTTCTAATCTTGCTGCACTGCTTTTGTTTGTGCAAAAACATTTTAATTTAATGTAATCAAAATTATCCATTTTATATCCCATAGTGCTCTCTGTTGCTTGTTTGGTCATAAATTTTTCTCTTATTTGTAGATCTGACAGGTAAACTATTCCATGCTTCCCTAATTTGTTTATGGTATCATCTTTTATATCTAAATCATGTACCTATTTTGATGAAGGTCTATTCTAATTATGAGACTCTAGACTTTTGTTATTCTGACTCTCTAGTTCTAATAGGAGTATTTTTCACATGAAAAACAAGACTGGCCACCCAAAAAAAAAAACCCTCACACTTCTCATTTGAAGTTACCTATGGGAAGCGTCTATAAAAACAAGATTATATACATTCTGAAAAACCTCAACCCTTAACACAAGATATGCAGTTGAACTGAGCAATCAGAACATGGTGAAGGTGATCAAGCAGATACTGATGGGGAAATGGGAAGTTGATAGAGTCATATAGTTGGGGCAGGTGATAAGTTAATATTCCTCACAGAGTCAAGAATCTCTGTAGTAAGGGGCAAGTAAAGGCCAATGAGAGGCAAGCAGTGCTTTGGTTTGGCTGCTTCTCTCAGCAGAACAGATTATTAATGAATTAAGCTGGTGTGTTTCAGAGTTAAGATTCTTTAGGGTCATGAGGACTGGGAACTCTCCTGCTGAGTTGGGATACTGCCCTATTTGTGGGTGTTGCTGGGGAATTCCTTGGAATATGCATATTTGTGGGGTTTAGATACAAAAAGCAATGCTTTTTTGGTGTTACAGGGACATGAGGGGTCCTTTCCAGAGGGCCCCAGTAGTCAGCAGGGAAAAACTGGGGAGCTCATCAGAAGAGGAAGTTGATACTAAGGAAACTTGGCTCCAGAAAGGCCAAGTCAGCTTTTGTCTGGAAGAATGTCTTTGAAGTGTCCCTTATTATTACTTCTTGCATATAACAACAGCTGAGGAAGAATTAAGAATCTTCACATCCTAAAAGCAAGAGTTCTTAGGCTTTTTTGTATTAGGACCCTTTTGACAGTCTAGTGAAACCCATGGATCCCTTCTCAGAATAATGTTTTTGAATGCATAAAATAAAATATATAAATGAAATCACTTATACTGAAATAAAATTATTAATAAAAAAAAACAACTC